TGTGTGTGTTGTAGAGCACTACTGGCTTCTTTACATTATGCTCCCTTCTCTTTTTTTGTGCTCTGCAGCAACTTAAGATTTGCTCTCACAGGGTATTTTCCCTTTGGTTAGGGTCAACTTCATGAATTAGTCCTATGTAGCTACACAGGGCCCAGCACCTGGAAGGGTCCCAGGCTTGATTTAATGCTCTATTCTTGCCATCTTGAAATTCCTTTTCCCTTTTTTTGAGATGGAATCTGAAGTCTTGCTCTCTGTTGCCCAGGCTGGAGTGCAGTGGCATGATCACAGTTCACTGCAGCCTCAGCCTTCTGGGCTCCAGCGATCCACACATCTCAGCCTCCTTAGTAGCTAGGACTACAGGCGTGCACCACCACGTCTGGCTAATTTTTCGATTTTTTTTTATAGAGACAGGGTCTCACTACCTTGTCCAGACTGGTCTCAAACTCCTGGGCTTAAACGATACACCCACCTTGGCTTACCAAAGCGCTGGGATTACAGGCATGTGCCACTGCACCAGACCCTTTATTAAACTCTTAATTTTTAAAAAATGGCTCTGCATTTTCATTTTGCACCAGGCTCTGAGGAAAAAAAAAAAAAAGACCATGTAACTGGTCTTGCTTTTGGCTCCCTGCTTCCTAGGACATGAGATACATGAGATAGATCTCCTGATCCTGGATAGAACCTACCCTTGGTGTGTTACCAAAGTTTCAGTGACTTCACTGGTTAGATCTCTGTTGCCCCCACATTTGCTTCACTTGTTCAGATGAACATGCTCTCCTTCTGGTATAACTCACTTTCCTCATTTTTCCATCTCCTGACAGTCTCTCTGGGAAGATAATCAACCACCATTGTCCCCAAGCCCTGCTACATCCACCCTGGTGTCTTTTACAGAAATGTATGTTAGGTCATAGATTCTCAATACTTATGACTGGTAGACTGATTTATTAGGCTTCTCTACATGTTCATTTGTAAATCTTATGCTGTTTGAAGTTGTCATTCTATTCACTCCTTCACACTTGCTCCTCGGTTATGTTCATTTGGCTTGTACATAATTTAGTTCTCTATCCTAATTTATGTGACAAATGCTCAGTTATCATCTCTAGTGTTCATTCATCCACTAAGTTAGAGTTTCTGAACTATGTCCCCCTTTTTTTTTTTGACTGTCACCCAGGCTGCAGTGCAGCGGGGCAATCTTGGCTCACTGCAACCTCTGCCTCCCAGGTTCAATTGTTTCTCAGGCCTCAGCCTCCTGAGTAACCGCATGCCACCACACATGACTAATTTTTGTATTTTTAGTAGAGACGGGGTTTTGCCATGTTGGCCAGGCTGGTCCCAAACCCCTGACCTCAAGTGATCTGCCCGCCTCAGCCTCCCAAAGTGCTAAGATTACAGGTGTGAGCCAATGTACCGGGCCGTTGACTCTTTTATATCACATATACAATGTTGCAGTCTGGATGCCAAATAAACACAGCTGGATTTTTAAAATTATTTAATGCATGTACTTTATTAACACTGAGATAATGTGATTTTATTCTGTTCACAGTTACTCTAATACATACATTTAAAACAATGGTCAAAGCAGCAATTACATTAACTTGCTATAAAAGTCATTAGACACTCAGGTAGTACTTTGGTAAATTATAAAACAAATGTACACAAGAGCACTTCAGTAGAAATTAAATCAGTTTGGGGACACATCAGGCTGTTAAACTCCATACTAGAATCCAACAGCAGATGAGCCATTCTTGGAGGTGGAAGAACTCCATGATTTCACAGCCTTGAACACTAAGTATGACCACGAGTGGACCATTTCAACCATCTAACAACCAATGGGAGGGTCAATTGGTCTCATCCCAAATGCCAAAAGTGACAGGCAGGCCATCACAACCTTGGCTTGTTCACCTTGTCAAGACATGACTTTATTTCTGCTTAAGTCATCTATATAAGTGAATCTAATAAATACAATAAAATGTAACCCAACCAAAATCACATGTCACTTTTTATAGACATGGGTATATGAGAACCATAGAGATGCTAAAGAAAAATGGAAGCATTTTATTATCATACTACCATGAAACTAAATTGACGCCCATTCTTAGGAAAGAAACTAAGTGTCTTGTTTGACATTGATGAGTAGGCCTACTTATTCTCTACCAAAATCCTAAAAAAAAAAAAAAAAAAAAAAAAATCAAATTTCACTTAAAATAACTTCCATCTTTTAGATTATGTGCTAATAATTCTTTGAAGTAATTATTTTTTAAGTGTTGAAACATGGGGAAAGTTCACATTATAGGTAGAGTACAAAGAATCAAAACAGATCCCTCCAAAGTGGACATCCCCCCGGAAAAATGCATAAGACTTTGAAGCACTTAAGAAATACAAACATCTGTAACAAATGAACAGCTGATGGAAAACAGGACAGTGTTTACTTCTGAATCTATAAGGTACTTAAGAACTTATACTTGTGGAAAATCACAATGACTCTAGAATATTTCACCAAATAGATGGTGGCAAATAGTTTGGCAACACGTATTAGAAAGGTGATTTATATACTACACATAAATGAAAGACAAACCCAAAGACAAGTGATGTGTTTTACTTATATTAATGTAAATTACACTACACCTATACCCACACGGCAAATTAAGTTAGAACTAAAAAACTAGAGCAGTCCCTTTTTAAACTACTACTTGCATATTTTCCAGTATCCTAATACATGTATACTTATCTTTTATAGATTATAATAACTTAAAGTTCCATTTTAATACTGTGGCATGAAAAATACAAACACCAGTATAGTATGTTTTCTGCTTAGTCAAAGTTAACTGGCTTAAGGTTTTAAAAGCTTCCCCACAGTCAAGTCTACCTTATATCCCTCTTTGTCAAACCTGTTAATTTCAGTGAGCTATGATCGCACCACTGCACTCCAGCCTGAAAAGCAGACTGAGTCTCTGTCACTATTAAAAAACAAAAACAAAAACAAAAACAGACACACTTAGCTATCTACTTCAATCCATCAATCACCCTCATGCCTTTGAACCTGACAACATCACTCCTAACCTTAAAGTAAAAGACAGGAATAGTAATGTAAAGCATTCAAAACAAAAATGAAACCTGCATCTTTATTTATTTATTTGAGATGGAGTTTTTGCCCTGTTGTCCAGGCTGGAGTGCAATGATGTGATCTCTAGCTCACTGTAACCTCCGCCTCCCATGTTCAAGCAATGCTCTTGCATCGGCCTCCCCAGTTGCTGGGATTACAGGCGCCTGCCACCATGCCCGGCTAAGTTTTTGCATTTTTGGTCAAGAGAGGATTCACCATGTTGGCCATGGTTCAGAGACCTCATGTGATCCACCTGCCTCGGCCTTGACCTCATGTGATCCACCTGCCTTGGCCCCTCAAAGTGCTAGGATTACAAGCTTGGGTCACTGCGCCTGGCCAAATCTTGCATCTTTAGAATGTCATTTTTGTGCATTAGTTTTCCTTTGCCTGTTGGTTTGGAAATTCTCTTTCTTCCTAAAGGTAGCTTCCACATTTCTGTTCCAAGAACTGACTAGAAAAAGCAAGATGGTTTCCTGCTTTAGCTGCCTCCCTTTGGTTTCTCACCTCTCAGCCAACAAACAGGACATGATGGTCTTTCCTGTGATGTTTTTCCTTCTTTCATCTAACTTCTCTTGGGAAAAAAAAAATTGAAATACTTATTTAGCACTAAAGGACAATTCCTGATTAATAGAGGCAGAAAGCTCAAGATTTATTTTCTTCTGTTCCGAAAAAGGTAAGAAGATGTGAATATTTATATTGGGCTCTCTCCCTCCTCATACACCTTTACCTAAAGCTTAAAGGAAAAAAAAAAGTCAAAAAAACAGCTGAAGGAGGATACATCAACTTTTTCTTTTGTTTATGCTACAAAATTCCACGTCATTCTTAAGATTCAGTATTTTTCTCACATCCTATTACCTTATATGCAAATTGCCATATAGCAATTTTTAATCGATTTCCTCATCTTCTGATAATCACTGGTTATCCACTATAAGGAAATTGCCACTAGTTTGTCAAGAGTCCTTAAAAATAATATATCAATAATTTACAACTGGTGAAAGAACTATGTGAGATTGTTCCCTTTAACTTTGTATTACTCCAAAATATACATATGTACATATACCCACACATATAACAAATTTACATAGTTTGCAGAAATAAACTACAAATCTAATTCCAAGCACACATTTAGAAATTCACATTTTAACAGCAAACTTACATGCAGATAAAAAGAAATATAGTTTAATACTCCTAAGTTATATAACAAGCTGAAATAGAGAATATTTTAATGTTCATTTTAGATTTATTCTTTCTTCTAAGTCTAATTTTAATGTTCATTTTAGATTTATTCTTTCTTCTAAGTCTCAGAAAATGAGCAAAAAGGAGACATAAAACTCAAGCTATGTCTATAGCAGTATCAATCAATGTGGTATTATTTTTACTAACAAATTACTCAATTGCTTACTTTATAAGTGATACACACATACTATAATACTATATACAAAACACAAAATATAGTTAGCAATAACAAATGAAAACTTTATACAAAATACTTGATTCCATCAGTATTTAACTTTTGACCAGAAGACTCTTAGCCTGTACATTCTTTTCTGATATTAAGGAATAGTCACATTTTTATAGTATTCTTAACTGCAGAAAAATAGGAATGAACAGAGAGGAGGGCTGATGAGATAGTTGAAATATACATTTATAAATACATATACAATTTAGTAATGTCATATCATCTGAATTAGTATCTTTTTTTTTTTTTTTTTTTTTTTTGAGACGGAGTTTCACTCTTGTCGCCCAGGCTAGAGTGCAATGGTGCGATCTCTGCTCACTGCAACCTCGGCCTCCTGGGTTTAAGTGATTCTTTTGCCTCAGCCTCCCTGGTAGCTGGGATTACAGGTGCCTGCCACCACTCTCAGCTAATTTTTTTTTTTTTTTTTTTTTTTTTGGTATTTTTAGCAGAGACAGGGGTTCACCATGATGATCAGGCTGGTCTGGAACTCCTGACCTCAGGTGATCTACCCATCTCAGGTTCCCAAAGTGCTGGGATTACAGGTATGAGCTACCATGCCTGGCCAAATTACTTCCTTTTGCAGGGTTATTTTCACCAGTAAGTGGTCCAGAATACAAAATATGGTAACAGAAAACTGTTTCTATACTTATTCGTTGGGACAGTTATTTAAAATAAAAACTTGCATTTTAGAATTAGGGAAACCTGGAAATTTTTTTTTAACTTGGAGATCACATATTAAATAGCTGTCAAAATTAAAACTGACTAGTTTTGAAGAACTTCAAAACATGTTCAAATGAATAAAGAACAAAAATGATCAAAAAAACCATAGCTGCCTAAGAGTCTTAAAAATTATTAATTTAACACTCTCGTCTCTTATCAAGTGTATCCAAACCACTTCTTACTTGCTCTTTCAATTTAAAGACTCACAGTTACATCACTACACACATATTTACACGGAGCACCTACAGCTGAACATAAATATGATAAGTATTTATGGAGAAAACTAAATGGTTAAGTTTACACTGACTTGTGCACTGCTCTAGTGAGTCACAGGGTCACCCAGATACAGGAGACTTTTTTGATCTCATCAGTTTCTTGACATGCTCAGTGAAAAACTGTTGCACAGAAACTCAAAGTCCCAGCTGGTAATCAGGCCCATCGTCCACTGGAGGCAAAGCTTCGGCTGAATGAGAAGTTGACTTCTGAGTTCTTATATTTTCCCCAGGCACCAAAAGGCACTACTACTGCAGTACTGTTATCTTCAGTACCATACTGTATTGCCTGCAAGGTTCGGCAAGAAGAAAGAGAGAAATCAGCCTTCCCTTCCCTTGGAAATCCCCTTCCCTGGAAAGCCAAACTGGTCTTACATGCAGTTACTAACCTAATTATTTCACAATGGTTTGTGATTTTCACCCTGTGTTAATGCCCACAAGGTTTATTAAATTGCACGTGAAATAACAGATGACCCAAAACAACCATATTAACTATTTCTGCTGTAGCAATTTTAGCAACAGAAACACCAGTGGACTAAGGTGCCTTGGTATGCAGCTCCTGAAAATGAAGATACGTGTAAATCATTTAGTGTAGGGCTTAACACATGGTAAGGACTTGGTAACTGTTAGCTCTTACCAGGAATTCATTTCCCTTTAGGGAAATTTACCCTAACAGAATAAAAACCTTGGAAATTGAAAGACAAAAAAACTAGCCATAACCATAAAAGAAATACAAATGGCTAATAGGCCTATACAAATAGCTAACTCCACTAACAAAGAAAAAAAGATATAAATGTCTACACTAAAATTTGATTTTTCCACCTATCAAATTGGCAAAAAGAAAAAAATATGCTAAGAATTTGGAGAAACACAAACTGTAGAACATGCTAGTGTAAACAGGTATAGTATTTCTGGTGGAGAATTTGGCAAACTTATTAAAAGCTCTAGAACACTGTGTATTCTTTTATCTAGAAATTTGTATTTATTTATTGAGACAAGGTCTTGCTCTGTCATCCAGGCTGCAGTGCGGTGGCACAATCGCGGCTCACTGCAGCCTCGACAGCCCAGGCTCAGGTGATCTTCCCACCCAGCCTTCCAAGTAGCTGACACCATGGGCATACATTACCATGTACAGCTAAGTTAAAAACATATATATATTTTTTTGTAGAGACTGGGTCTCGCCATATTGCCCAGGCTGGTCTCAAATTCCTGGGCTCAAGCAATATTCCCATCTCAGCCTCCCAAAGTGCAGGTGTAAGCCACCACACCTGGCCTATAAATTTTCTTTCTTTCTTTTTTTAATGGAACTTTCTTTTATTTGAGACAGGGTCTCAAAAATAAATGATGTACATTTGATCATATAATCTTATCACATACATAATATAATTATATACACACAGAATACTCTTCACACAGAGAATATTCATATCACTTTGGGGTTATTTTTGTTTGTGTGCTTTCTTGGGGTTTTTTGCGACAAGGTCTGGCCCTGTCGCCTAGGCTGGAGTGTGGTGGTTCGATCTCAACTCACTGCAACCTCCACCTCCCACCTCAGTCTCCTGAATAGCTTTGTGCAGGCATGCACCAAACACACCTGGCTAACCTTTGTATTTTTTTGTACAGATGAGGTTTTCCCAGATTGCGCAGGCTGGTCCCAAACTCCTGAGCTCAAGTGATCCTCTAGCCTCGTCCCCCTAAAGTGCTGGGATTAGAGTGCAAGCTACCGAACTTCACCCATACTTGTGTATTTCTGTTCCTTTTTTTTTTTTTTTTTTTCCTGAAGGAGTCTCACTCTGTAGAAATTTTATTTCTAAGGACTCAAGCAATCCTCCCACCTCATCCTCCCTTGTAGCTGGGACTACATGTGCATGCCACCACACCTGAATACTATTTCTAAGAATCAAACCTATTTCCTGAAGGAAACAGATATGCACAAATAGACATCAGAATATTTATTACAGTGCTTCCTCTATAGTACAAAAAACATGAACATAAACTAAATTTTTTGACCAGGGGAACTGTTAAATGAATTATGTATAAGAATAAGATGGAACAGTATGCATTCATTACAAATTTCATTGCCTTTGTGAATTAGAATGCAAATATCTGCAAGACAGGCAGTTGAAATTGGGAAAGAAGTGTTCATCCATGGAATTGGGCCTATTTCCTCAATTTCATGAGCACCCTGGTTAGCACAGGTGAAGGCCATAACCCAAGTGAATAACTCATGTATTATGATGATGTTGCCCATCTATTTCCAAGCAAATAATACTTTTAAAGTAAGGTCTGTTATCTTATTTTGGGAAATGTAAAAATAGCTGTTGAATTAAAACATACTTTAAATAATACAAAGCACAGGTTAAGTTTTCTTTACTAGCTATTACCCAGCTTTCTTCTAATTTTAGTTCTGACTGACATGCAACCTCATCCCTATGCCTTTTTGTATTTTGGTTTATCTTTTCCACATACCCATTCTGAATAACCAGAAGGTAACTATGCTATATCCTCAAGTTGGATATTTGCTTGGAGCACTCTAGTTTAATGGTCAAGTGGTTGGACTTGGGAACCTAGTTGTCTGGGTTTGAAGTCCAGTTCTGCAATTTAATAGTTTTGTGACCTTCAGTGAGTTACTTAACTATGTAGCCTCTGTACCTGTTTTCCTCATCTGTGAAAAGGGACAGTAATAGCTCCAACTTAATAGGGTTATTGTGATTACCATATATGTAATTGTATATACTGTTCGATACATATAGTAATGAGTTAATATATATGAATACCGTCTGACACAGTAAGTGTAAGTGATATATTAGTTTACTACTATTATAATTTATTATTGCTGTTACTATCATTTCAAAGTATATGCAAAGCCAAAGAATAAACAAAGCTCATTTCCTTGGCATATTAAAATTTTAACTTGGGGAAATAATAAAAATTTTATGCTTGGAAATATTATGGAATCAAGTGTAAAATTCACTGCAACACTCAAAAGCCAAAACACAATGCCTGGGCTGTCCTTTCCTTCTCCTTAGACTCTTCAGGCAGAAGCTCTGGGTCACCTGTTCAGTTACTGCGTGGGCTGCTTCCTTGGGATCGTGGCACTGATTGACAAAGTCACAAATCTCTTGACTATTCACCATGAAGTTAATTCCATCTGTGGTGAGGACCAGGAAGCTGTCATCAGCATGATGTAACTGCAATCAGAACCAAATGCCTATGATTATTACGTAGACTCTGACTTAGAGTAATCTTGCTAATTCAAAGATTTTTATCTGTTTTGCTGAGTGGTCATCTGTGTAAGAGCTTGTAAGCTGATACGGTTTGGCTGTGTCCCCACCCAAATCTCATCTTAAATTGTAGCTCCCTTAATTCCCATCTGTTGTGGGAGGGACCCAGTGGGAGGTAACTCAGTCATGGTGGTGGGGTCTTTCCCATGCCGTTCTCGTAACAGTGAAGAAGTCTCCTGAGACCTGATGGTTTTGTAAAGGGGAGTTCCCCTGCACATGCTCTCTTTGCCTGCCACCATGTAAGACATGACTTTGCTCCTCTTTCACCTTCCACCATGATTGTGAGGCCTCCCCAGCCATGTGGAAGTATGAGCCTATTAAACCTCTTTGCTTTTAAATTACCCAGTCTCAAGTATATCTTTATCAGCAGTGGGAGAACAGACTAATACACAGGCAAACAGTGAAAATGTAAAGCCTGTATGTTGGGCAAAAGTAGTAACATTTAGAATTAACCACCAAGGATAAAGCTAATATTTAATTAGTAAAATATAAATAGCACCTAATAGCAGAAAGTAAAGAATAAAGAAGTTGCAATCCTCTGAAATCTGATCACCAGAGGTAATCAGTCCTAACCATTTAGCAAACACCCTTCAAGATATCTTGCTTTACTTGCATAATTCAACATCGTAAAGAGAGAATCCAGATAGTCCAATGCTGAGAGGTAGCTCAGTGTAATGGTTGTGAATGCTGTCTTTTAAGCCCAGGCTTCTAGGATTTGAATCCTGCCTCTATTTCCGGCTTGGGTGAGCAGCAGAGGTGCATTGACCTCTGTATGCTTTAGAATTTCCTTGAAAAAATTGAAATAGTAGTACTTATTTGGAACAAAGCCTAGCTCATAGTAAACTCTGCCTAAGTATCTGTTAGATAAAATGAAGTAGGATATCTGTAAGACACAAAGTGGGATATCTGTAGACTTGAAATCCTTCATGCAATTAACAAGTGTTTGCTGCCAGTTTTGGAAGCCTACGCTATACTGTACTAGGGACTATAGTGGCTCAGGAGTTTTAGAGAAGTGTCAGTTCATGTACTGGATGTGTGCTGGGGGCCGTTTAGGACAATGAGGACACTGATCAGTAGCATGCAAAGGATGCTGCAAAAGTAGAAGTGGGCAATTATTTGGTTTGGTGGAAAAGGGAAGTCGGGGCAGCTTCCATGTGGAGGTGATGTTGATTGATTGGGTGCAGGTGATGCTGCCTGATTGGACACAGGTGATGCTGGCTGACTGGGTACAGGTGATGCTGGCTGACTGGGTACAGGTGATGCTGGCTGATTACATGCAAGTGGTGCTGGATGATTGGGTGCAGGTGAGTAAGAACAGTAGGACCATTCCACCAGGAGAATTCCATAGCTGGAGTGAAACAAAAACCTAACACTTCTTCCTACTGAGGGAAACCAAAATATTTCTCTCCCAAATATTGAGGATTGCCAAAGTAACTGAAAAGGCAGGGGAACACTTCCTCAGCCTCTACTTGCCTGCTGGCTGGAGACAGCACTTGTTTATCGGCCCAGAAAAGAAACCAGCAGGCACTAGGGAAATCTGGGAACAGGTTTTACTATCTCCACACATTTTTCTGCCTTTTAAAAGACTGAAAGTGTTTTATTCTTTATCTTGTCACTATGTAGGATTTGTGGCTCTTTGTTTAAATACTATTTAAGCAAAGCCCCTAAGCCACTGCCTTGAGAGAGAAATACTTTGAACTGAGGCCTTTCCTGCACAATGGGTATAGCACGCTGAACCGTCTGCTTATTTGTAGTTGTTGTAGTTAATCTGACTTCTGTTTTCAAGAAAGTGTCTCAGCTAAGAACCTAAAAAGGGTAATTTATGTTTTCTCCTCTACAGTATATTAGGCCAGAATAGTAGCATCTTATTTTACCTGAAAAGTTTTTTTTTATCCTTCCATATATTACTCCCTTTTAAAAATCATTTTGGCTTCAGTTAAGGCTTACAAGAAAGTCTGCAGCGGAGACATTCCTACATTCACTCTCTGCAGGTGCATCAAGTGCTTGCAGGTCCTTTCTTACCTTAATTCTCTTAGTTTCAGGTTCTGCTATGACACCACTGGTTTTAAGATCCAAATCTCCAATACTTCTTGTCATTGCAAGCCTGCCATTTACATGAGGCTGCCCCAAACTATTCCAAGCCACGAAACCACCACATTTCTTGATCCTGTTCAAAGTTAAATGACAATGATGTGATATGCAGAAAACCAAGTCACTGTTAAACTTAAGCATGACATCAGTTTAAAAACTGTTATGAACTAAAAGCATCACCCACATAGAATGATGGATCAGTGGTGGTAGTACCTTTCTTTTTCATCTTTTCTTTCTGGAGTATGGTCAATGGTCAGCTTCATGGGTTTTCCTTTTCTACACAAAATAGCCCGGCTGTCCCCAACACTGGCTACAACCAGTTCAATACCATCTCGCAATAGGGCTACTGTTGCAGTAGTCCCAGAGGTCAGAAGAGTTGCTAAAAATATTATGAAAAAAGAGTTCAAGTTAGTGACAGTCAAATGATTGGATATGGAATTTTTATTACAAAATAGAAGCACAACTAATGCTAGAATATATCATTCTAATTTAACTAGAGCTAAGCAAATAAAATGCAAATGAACTATGTAAGTAACAGCATGCAGAGAAACAACTATTTAATTCAGTAACAAGGCTCCATGCAAACAGGAAAGGTTGCTAACCTAATCTGGCAAACACTGTATCACTATCTACAAATGGCCTCTATTCATATCAAGTAGTGCTGACTTGAATTTGTAACAACACCTTCGTGGATATCTGGTGTCTGGACTGAAAGTATTAAAATTTAGTTAGGTTGGCTCTGTTGGTGGGATGACTTAGGTCTACTTGAGCCCACGCAGGCAAGCTGATTTTTCTACAGTCTACGGATTTAGAAGGTTTTCCCTTCCATTTGTTATTCCTATCCTGTGAACATATTATCAGTTAGTCGGCTAAGTGAGATATGTCAAGGGCATACCATTTGCATATTCTACCTCTGTATGCTTCTAAAACTGTTTTAATTTTATAAATGTTCACCAAAAACTCCTAAATGGTTACAGGCTCACATTCTTTTCTGTTTATCTTTGCCCTTCCCTAGACATGAAACAAAGTTACAATCATCATTATTGAAGCAGAAAATCTGGGGAAGGAGGGGTAGAGAATGAAGTTCATTCTAGTTTCTCATAAACTCGGTGTAGTCAGCACTCCAAACTCCAAACGCAGGGCGGAACTGCCAGCTGCAACTCCTGGGGTGCTGCTTGGGCCAGAGCATCCCACACATAGGAATTTTCTCTAATAACAAATAAAACTCATTGTTACTGGGCTTGAGGTCACCACTGTTTCCTCCAGCCACTCACACTGCACTTTTGCGTCTTCCTTGGATTTCTCCTAACAGTGTTTGCCCTAAGTTCTTCACCACTTGCTAAAAATTGTTAGGGTGCATTGAGCCTTGTCAAAAGTGAGAATATTGTGAAATTATGCGCTAAAAAATAAAACACAGCGGAATAAATTGGAAAAGATAACTTATTTAAAGCAGGTATTGTCTTTAGTAACACTGTTAACTCTTTAAAACATTCCAAAAATGACTTTGATTTTAAAGGCAGATTTAGGAAAAATGAAGTGCTACTGATTTGACCGATTAAGATTCAATCTTTCCAAGTTTTTTTTTTTTTCCCCCAAAAAGATAATTTTGAAAACTTCATCAGTAATGCACTGGAAGGAGATATATACATATATATAATATACATATACAGATGTTTCCAATTGGTATATTAGAATGCCTGCTTTAATCAGAAAAGTAAAATGGAAAAGCATGAATAAAGACTACTTAATCTTTTATAGTCATGCTGAACTTTTTTGAGAAATAACATTTATAGTTGCACTATCTTCCCATTTTTCTCTTGATTTTGGAACTGTTGTGCCAACGTAATATTTCTGCAATGATGAAAGATATATTTGTCCATCATATAACATAAATGTTTTAGCATAAGTATCAGTGATATTTATATTACAAATGTTAACTCTTAACTTTAAATTACCCAAACGAATATACAATAGAATCTTTACAGTTTGACTAACTATAATATTTCAAATGATTTAAAGAGCCAGGTAAGGGAACACAGGCATTTATTCAGATGCTACCTATCCTGGGAATTTAATATTCCTTCCCTTTGTTTAAACCATCAGCAATAGCTTTCTTAAAAATGGTTTATTATTGGCCACAGTAGTTCAGTTATTTAGGCTTGTAATTCATGGCTCTGTCAGCTAGAAATTTTAAAAGACTTTGAGCGTCTACCAACCCAACTTCGCAGTTCCAAAATCCCAGGATTTATAGGAAAGGCTTCAAAACTAACTGTCAATTCTGATTTGCTAAGCATTTAAGAATATAAATATGAAATCAGCATTCATTTTCATTTAACATTTAACATGGAAGTAAAATTCTCATTTTGCCCTAACAACAGAATTAGAAAACTAAGACATCTTTCAATAAGTTCTTAACACTCACTGGACAATTTCTACTGCAAGTCATCTCAACTAATGGGACAAAGAGGATGTGGGGACATTCCCGTAGTCCAGGCTAGGACCCGCTGGACTCCTTCACCTGGGACAAAATTAAGCAGATCTCTCTTTCCACTGAAGCCCAGCATATAGTGTCCACGGGCTCCAGGTCTAGAGCTGCTGACCAGGCACAGTTCTCTGCCACAAATAACACGCACAGAGGCAAATAGGAAATTTCACCCAGGAATTGTGCTCAAACATTACAAACCTGCAACACATGGGAGAGCAGAGAAAGAGCTGCAAAATAAGGGAAGCGTTTTTTACTTTGGTGAAAATTTCACTAGCAAATTATATAATATTCCAGGAGATGCCAAATCAATGATTCCAAAACTCAGTTTGTTCCAGTTGATGGTATTTTATACTTGGGTCTATTTTTTTCTTCACAGAGTAACACTTCTTTCTCAATTCTGTGGTTTCTAAGGTTGAAAAAACTATATACATAATGTATCTGTACCAAGACACGTAAGTGGTGACACAGATACACATTTAACACTCAAAAAAACACTCATGCACATACACATTCACTGAAATAGTTTGTCTTAAATACAGTCAAGCAGTACCTTTACTGAGTTAGAAAAAAATGCACTGTAAATTTGTTTGGTAGCAATATTAGAATTGGCTCAATAATAGATAAGTCTACAGTTACAGCACTGAAGAATTTGTCTCTGACAAGCAGGATGTAAACTACAGTATACCACCAACTTACTGGGACTTAAATATATATCAAGAAGGAATCAAAGCCCCTCCTATAAAAGATGCATGCACTTGTTGATGGTGCTTAATGCAGATTTAGTACCTAGAAAGCATTTTTGAGTAGAATGGTTAATTTAAATTCACTGTTTAAATAAAGGCTAGTGAGACTCTTGCGCTCTAATGCATGTTTATAATTTTATATAATTCAAAAAACAGGTATTTCTGCAGCTCTCTCTTTCCCCGGTGTTGCAGGTCGACACATCAAAAGAAAAATGATCACGATTTTGAATGGCAACATAAAGAGCAAAAGCTATACTTTTCAAAGAATAATGACTCCTACTAATTACTCAATTGTGTAAATAATATTATGTATAAACAATACAGTTTCAATATTTATTAAAAATGGGTGTTCTAGACTCATGACTCATGAACACTACAATCAAAGTAATGAGGCTGAAGCAGTAGCAGCACAGTAAGAACATTTCTCTTCAATGCGCTCCCTATTTTTTTTTTTTTTTTTTTTTTTGGCTGCCCAGCATAGGGGATTCAAAAATGCTGTGTTTATAGCCCTGGTTATTTTGTAGTTTAATTCTTCCATAAAGAGGTTACAGGATATGAAGAACATAAAAGTTTCTGATGAGACTCACAATGCCATCAACGTCCCCCACTCTGAATGTCAGAGCAAGTCTTCTCTTTTTGTTCCATTTGTCCCTTTCGAAGCTTTGTTGCTTTCAAAGTTTAAGCAATCTGGAAACACTCTGAAGAGCTTATAGGAAATATAGAATTATAACCTAAGTCTTCTACCATCTAGTTTGTTCTAAGTGGCTATCTGTTTATAAACAACAGAAGACTGGCAGGATATCATTCGAATTTACTGGCTGCTTTTATTAATTGTAAAAGTAGACATTACTGGTAAAATTGAATGCAAAAAATTAAAAGATGGTGATGAAATTGGCTACTGAGAACTAAGGACAGATTTAAAATGCATTAACAAAAAAGGAATAAAAATAGCTGGCAATTTCTTAAAGACAAGGGAATCTTGTTCTTGCCATTTCTTGATAAGTGGCATTTTGATTTTATTCTTTTCAAAATATCCCCAGCTACAAGAGTAAACTTATTTTATTCTACTCAAATGATAAGCTTTTATTGTATATTGCAGATCATTCATCCAGGACACATAGCATCTGTGTTTGGCATCATCTCATTTTTGAAAGGACTGAGTGCACATAATAATAGTCTCTTGCCTATGCTGAGCTCGCACCTGCCTGGCAGAGAAGAGCCCTCACTGAGTATAACTTGAATGTGAACTTGCTTAGGCAATAGCAGTGCCATTCAAGAGTAAATATTCTAAATGTTAATAATATAAATTGAAATTCTTTATGTAGATGTAAAAGCTTTGGAACTGACGTTGAGATAAAAATGTTTTATGTTCACTTAATTTATCTTAAGAAAGCTAATATGGTATTGATACAGGAGCTAGAAAGAAATTATTTAGGCAGATAGTGAGGGTAAATGAGTCCTTGGCAAGGCTTCCCTTTTAACAAAAAGCAGCTCCCAAACCATTCTTTTCTAACAAAAAGCAGCCTGAAAAATTGAGCTGCAAACATAAGCGAGCTGGAAGCTTGCACAGGTGAATGCTGGCAGCTGTGCCAATAGCAAAGGGCTACCTGGGGCCAGACATGTTCAATATGCTCCATCTTCCCTTTTCTTTGTCACCACAGGTACAGTAAAGGAATGGGCAACAAGGCACTGGCCAGGTAGCGAACCATCTGCATAACAAAAGATTAGGGTGGGGGTGGCCAGATTCTTGAGCACTCTGCAAATGGCACACCTAGACCTAACCAGTTTTTCCTGTGCTATGCAAATGGTACACCTGGTCGGACCAATCTTTCGTGCCCTAAGCAAATCAGACACTGCCTCCTCAAGCTCATCTAAAAAGCCTCCTGTACTTCACTGCGACTAGAAATCTGTTTTGGAGGAAAGAGCAGGAAAGAGCTTAAATCTTAACTTCACTCCTTGTGTGTCCGCATCTTCGATTTCCTTGGAGTGAGACAATGACCCTCGGATATTATGCCAGATGAACAATGCTGCTTCAGTATGACTGAGGGGCACCTCTACCACTTAGACCTAAAATCTCACCATTAGTGATTCCCCTCTATGGTTTAACTAAGCCTTTTCCAGGTGTCTGCTAATTAAAAATCAAAGCTACCCAGGAGTGACAATTCATTAAAATGCATACAGTTTATTAATAATTTGATTAAATCAGCTATATGATAATCAAAGAATAAATTACAGTAACTTCAGTGAGAAAGAGTAGGCAGTGGAGATCTCAGTTCAATTCAAATAATTATTGAGTACCTGCCAGGTTCTATGCAGGGTGCTGCACACTGAAGATTCAAAAATGAATAAGCCACAGTCCTACACCTCACAGGAAGGGCTCAAGAGGAGGGGAAGAGACTAATATTAAAGGAGAAAAGATGAAAGAAACTGGAGAGGGCAAACTGCACTTACTACAAAATTTTCTTTCGCTAGTACTGGCCCTACCTATATTCGTAGGCTGAAAAGAATATTATCTACTTTTACAATACTGATACTGCTTCAGTTCTTGCTAAAAACTAAAGTTTTAAACTTAAATAATAACTTTCAAATATAAAATGACATTTTTAAAAATCCACAAATTGAACAGTTATACAACATATGCCATTCTATTTTTAATGGCTTTAATATATTTGATAAAATAGGCCCTAAATATCAAAAGGCAAGTTTTGCCATCTTTGAAAGCTTTGGCAACTTATTAAGAATACAATTTTTAAATGTTCTCAAAACATTAATTTTTAAAAAACACAGACTGATAAATATACAAAATAAGATTTAATAACAGTATTATAATAGACTTTTTCTTTGAGTACAACTAAGGGCATCATCCCATCTTGCTCCATTATACTTTCAAACAAATGACCATTATATAAAAAATAAATTTTAAAATATCTTAAGGATGTTCTGTGATCATTACCTCAAAGTATATGACAGAGGAATTAAATTAAATAATGCATTTTAATTTCTTTATTAAAAATGAATTAATTTTATTAAGAATGAAAAATATGGAACACCTCATGCATTTTACTGCCATCCTTGCCCAAGGACCATGCTGATCTCTGTATCATTCCAATTTTAATATATGTGCTGCTGAAGCAAACATATGAATTGCAGCTTTGTGATTAATTTCTTTACACAACTGTTTGTTTTTATGACAAAGGTATCTTTAGAAAGTTTAAGATAAGCAAGTTAATTTATTTAAGTTCAAAATTCTGTTGAGTTATACTTTATTCAATAATAAAAGGAGTCCTCTCATATTTTACATCAAGTCAATCACTGATTGGTTTAAACATCTACATTGACTAGATCCTTTTGAAAAAAAGGCTGATGGCACCATGAAGGTCAATGTTTTTGATTGGTGGTCACATGCCTGGGATAAATATGGACATTCTCATCCAAAACCCTTGCCCAGTAAGCTGCAGGTATTTACAGAACAGCTGGGGCACACCACAGGCACTACAGTCTAATAAACATTGCGGTGTGAGACAAAGCCAGACTCACAGCCAACTTGGTTATCATGAAGTAAGAGTATATCAAAATTCAGAAAGTAATAAAACCATAAGAAAACATTTTATTTCCTCTTCTCCTTCGTGTGTTTTAACCATTTGGAACAAGAGCTAAATCTTATACATAAAGTTTACCTCTTTGAACTTCTGTCTTCTTAAAGGTAAGGATCCAGTTGAAAGGAAAAAAAATCCAAAGGAATGAGAGAAAAGAAAATGGGCCTAAATAAACTGGAAAACATAACCCTGAACAGAGTGGATTGTAATGCTTTCCAGAGGAGTGTGATATTAAGGTTCTCAATAGCAGCTAAGGAAAAATCTCAAAATGGTAAATAGAGCCAACCCAGAGTTACCTTCTCCTCTCCCCTTGGGAGGGAAGAGAGAATGCTGGTTGTCAGGAAAATCCCAGCCTTAACTCAGCACTGACCTTTACCATTCTAATCTTCAGTTCCTTAGCTGCGAAATGCAGAAAATCTCTATACTTATGTACTCCAACTGAAAACCATACAAATGACATTTCTGTGGTGCCCCCTTTTTTTTTTCTTAAGAAAAAGATGAGCCAAATACAGATCAAGATTATTGCATGATTCATTTTCAAATCATTTACAAGATTACATGCATACATTCATTTGGCTGGTACAGAAGTTTTCAGGGTTAACTTTAACAGCAAAAGATTAGAGGCTAGCTAACTAGAAAATATTTGCTGTGTTTTCCTGAAATGGTTTTGATAAATTTAGTCAAAACCAGAAACATTTCACTGTCAAAATTTAAGGACATACAGCACACAAAATCTTAAATTCAACTAGCATGCTCTTATGCTGAAAATATCACTAGTTGCCAGAGGAAAGCTGCAAGATTGAGCTTTTTAAGAAGTGACAGAAAAACATATTCCTTTTAATTATACAAATTAGCTGTTGTCTTTTTCTATTTAGGATCTATTTGCAATTTTTTTCTTGTTGGACAATGACTGCCTTAGCTAGATGTAATTACCCTGTAGTGTATTTCAGCATTTGGTCACCAGATCCATCTAAAAAAAAACAAAAACAAAAAACAAAAAAACAAAACTCATAGTATGGACATTTTGTCCATAAAATGAGCAACAGATTAAACATTTTTTAAATCTTTTAAAAACTAAAATACTACATCAGAACTGTTTTGGGGTTTCTCTTTCTAAAAAATTCTCCAATATATTTCATTTAAAAGTGAGGTATTTACATTAATTTGGATTCAAAACAGCATTTAATGTGATTCTTCATATAAAATCATTTCTAAATAAATCCTTACAAACAAGTTTACATTAAAATCCCCTCCCACAAAGGACTTCAACTGTTTATTTTTTACTCCTCCCCAACCCCACATACTCCCTAACACCCAAGGAATGTGATAGTCTTACATACCATCAGCAGACAGGCGGGCGTGACTTGAAAAGGCTTTATCTATTTCTAGAAAAGCCAAGGTCAATACAGTTTCCAAGTTCTTCTCCTTAGGAAGCAAATCCCTTTGTGTGGAGGGAATAAAAAAACATCAAACAATCATTTTACAATAGGTTTCTCTCTTCACTGTTAATGCTAGGTAGCAGCCATTCCACACAATGGCCTCATAATTTTCCTGTTAAATGCTCAAGATTTACTGACTAAGGAACACTTACTTAGCATGTAATAAGATTCAGGCACTGTGATAAGCTTTTAAGGGCACAAAAATGAAAGTCCAGATCCTTGTCCTTGAAGAATTAATCCTCACTACCGCAACCCTGAGAGGTTAAGAATTCCTTCCTATTATGAGTTCTTTTGTGGAAAGAGGTATACACAGGAAGTGAAGAAGGGGTCACGTGGGAAGTCAAGAATAGTTACATGGTCATAACTCTATCACATGTTCTCCCTTTTTTAATGTTAGCAGTAATGTGACCCTCAAAAATGCATTAATAATAGTTGAAGTAAATAAACTGAAGAGCTCCAGAACATCTGCATTAAATGCATTTTCTCCACACTAATGCCAATCATCCAAAGCTATTTTCAACAAGTCAAGTATTCAAAGCTATTCACACCACTTGAAAGAGTAATTACCATTTATTGAAGCACTTATACTTCCTATACTGATGGGAGTAAATGCTTCTCATAGGTTATCTCATGCACATTATGCCACTTCACTTGAAATGATCACAAATTAAGTGCTATAGATGTCGGTTAATGCTTTCCCCAGGGGAGTTGTTAAAATATGCATTTCCGAAATTGTTATATCCACTTAAAACTACTTCTCATTCATTAACTACTTCTCATTCATGAAGCAGCAGCATGCAACCACTTAAGTAACTATGTTCACCCTGGAAGCCTCAGCCAAAGGGTGAAAGTTTAAGCAGGAAGCATAGGGGAACTGCAAAGTCAGGAGTGAAAGTCATTGTACATACGTAATACATTTCTCCATGTGGGTATGACAGAAATCAGCTGCTGCAGGTCCACCATGTCCATCATATACTGCAAAGTATAGGACCTCATCTGTTAGCTGAGCAAAGTCAAACCGATCTTCATTCTCTTTCCGTTTGCCAATCTGTGAGGCACAGCCCACATTTTCCAAGCTGATTTTGGGAATTGGCTTGCCATACTTAATGCTGGGTGGTAGCAGAATTGGCTCATCAATGCGGTTATCCCAGATCCCAAAATTGTCCCAGGTAGCTGGACGCCCACTACCATCTGGGTCAAACCGAGAACACCTAGGCTCTGAAGTGGAACTGTTGCACGTGGGTGTCACCTGTCTGTCATCCTGCAGCAGGCGGGAGCTTAGCAGCACTCTCCTTCTCAACTGGTTCCCACCACTTCTGACCAAAGTAATTAAGGCAGCTGTTGACATAACTCAGCTCCAAAGGACCCAGTGATGAGGGAAAGGTCAATGGAACAATAACAGAATGTCTTCAAGAAAAATTATGCAAGTCAGGGGGACGGGTTGGGGGAGAGAGAGAGAGAGAGAGAGAGAGAGAGAGAGAGAGAGAGAGCATCAGAAATTTTGAATATAACTGATATGTTATCAAATATTACCAAAAATGAATGTCATAAAGGATTTGACAGAAAATACATATATTTACATTATATATTGGGTAGACATCCAATAGCCTACTTCTAAGAACAGTGGATCAAAAGTGAATTGATTTTCCTACCTCATTCAAAGCATTTAAGTTCTATAAAAATTTGACGGTGTGCACATACACTGAACATGTGTCTCTCAAACTTGAACCTGCAATCATTTGTTAAAATGCAGATTCTGACTCAGTGGCTATGGGGTGGAACCATTCTGCATTTCTAACCAACACCCTGGTGATATGGAAGCTGCTGGTCTGCAAGTTGCACTTCAAGTAGCAAGAACACAGAATACAGGTATAATTAAATATACTTCCCTTCATTAATTCTATTGCTTTCAAGAAAAGGTAGGGGTAGATATTAACAATAATATCAGTCTCTTCAGGAAAAAATAACAAGCTAATAAAATACATAAAATAATTCTGTTTCCAAAGAATGGCCAAGTTTTTGGGCACGCTAGCGCACGCCTGTAAGCCCAACACTTTGGGAGGCCAAGACAGGTGTATCGTCTGAGTTCAGGAGTTCACAACCAGCCTGGGCAACATAGTGAAACCCCGTTTCTACTTAAAAAAAAAAATTAGCCAGGCGTGGAGGCATGCTTCTGCAATCCTAGCTACTCGGGAGGCTGAGGCAAGAGAATTGCTTGAACCCGGGAGGCACAGGTTGCAGTGAGCCAAGCTCACACCACTGCACTCCAGTCTGGGCAACAGAGCAAGACTTCATCTCAAAAAAAAAAAAAAAAAGAATGGCTAAGTTTTAGCAACAACATAGTCTAGCATTGATCTAAGTTTTTATTTTGAGATTTCTCAACCTACTAAACTTTACATACCATATTACTGTGGTAAATATAAATTGGCATGTAAATACCCCAGAGGCACAAAGAAAAGCCAGTTTTGATGATGCTCCCCTTCCTGGTAGACTCTCACTAGAAGGGTGTGTGGGTATGATCTCAGGAACCCGGCGGCACTGCATTTGTGACAAGCAGCCCTAATTTCTGAACAAGTGATCTATGCATTTACATTTACAACTGCAGCTCTCTCCATTCCAAACCCTAGCAATCCACTGACACTTCAGACTACATTTCTTTGAAACTATTACTCTATACCCCACCCACCCCAAAACTCAGTCCTCAGTCTTAGCATTACAGGGTGTTACCAGGGGGAATTCCTACCCTACTGTGGGTAGGGCAGTTTCTGGCAATTTTCCATACAAATAAGAAATTTGTCTCCATAGGATTGTGTTCTATTACTTCATTAATTTAAAATCAACTTGAAAAGATGGCATAATACTAAGGTTTAATAATGTTGGTGGATGGTCTACTGGTAATATTATTCACAATAAAAATGAGCTTGAGAAAATGTATTTTTCCAAAAGGTATAAACATACATCAATGAAACCCAGCTTGAGCGCAGCTATGAGAAAATGCACTACAGGTTTCAAATAATTACTTTCAAGTGAATTTTTGGAAATCAGTCTAGCTATGCATAGGGAAGTCCTCTTTCAGTGAGTAAAACAGGCAAAAGAAAGAATGAGGTTCCAAAGAACATCCTTAGATGTTTATTTGTTTTTATTTCTTGTAGAGATAGGTTCTCACTTTGTTGCCCAGGCTGGTCTCAAACTCCTAGCTTCAAGTGATCCTCCCATCTTAGCCTCCCAAAGTATTGGGATTACAGGAATGTACACAGAGCCTGGCTTCAATTTTTAGATACTTAAGCAATAAAAAATACATGAGCTCTGCTGTCACAGAATTTGGAATAAAGATGACCACCAAAACAATTAATGATCATTAAAGACTCAGAAAGTCATCCCTTCTGGGCTTTTGGCCAAGATCCTGTACAGAAGGCTGAAATTCATTTCTTTATAAGACAACATTGGTGGTGGGTTAGGGAGTGGCAGAGACACCAAATCTCTGGTTATCCAAGAGAAGTTAACACGGCCAGACGCATTGGCTCACACCTGTAACTCCAGCACTTTGAGAGGCCAAGGTAGGCAAATCACTTCAGGCCAGGAGTTGGAGACCAGCCAAGGGCAACCTTGTGAAACCTCATCTCCACTAAAAATACAAAAATTAGCCAGGTGTGGTGGCGTGTGCCTGTAGTCCCAGCTACTCAGGGGGCTGAGGTAGGAGGACTGCTTGAGCCCAAGAGTTTGACACCACCCTGGGCAACGTGATGAAACCCCATCTCTACAAAAAGTACAAAAATGAGGTGTGTGGATTGCTTGAGCCTGGGAGGCAGAGGTTGCAGTTAGGCAAGATCACGCCACTGCACTCTAGCCTGGGCAACAGAGCAAGACACTGTCTAGTAAGAGAGAGAGAGAGAGAGAGAGAGAGAGAGAGAGAGAGAGAAATAACACTCTGTTGCAAGAGATATTTGTTCTTTTGCTTCTAATTGAGAGTTAGATTTTATTCAGCAACAACTATGAATTCAAGCCAGCAAAAGTATGTTAAAAAAATTTTTTTAACTCAATTATGTTAACTATAGGTGATGAATTGAGATTTCAAACTAGAATACAATATACCAGGTAATAAAATACTACTTATTTGGAGATAGTTCCTAAAGCAGCTTTATATCATATAGAAAAAGAACTTTAAATAAATATATTTAATAGAAAATATTCATATTTGAAGAGTTAATTTGAGATTACCAAAATGCTATTCTTTTGACTTTGGTCTGAAAGTATACATGCCATATTCAGCCTTGGGCTACTTTGCAGTCATGCACCTACTTTAAACCAGAGTTCTAGAATTACAAATAAAATTAAATAAAGTTTTTCTGCAGCTCTTCTAGTATACTCTTGCCTTTTTTTCTCCTTTCTATCCCTTCCCCCAATTTTTTAAAAAAATAATAAAGTAGAACTGCATTCTCACAGAGAACAAATATCCACTGAAAACATTTTTAAGAATGAGATAAAATGCAAATTGGGCAAATTCTATAAACCTGCATATTTAAAAATCAATCATCAACTTGGCCTCCTTCCTTGTGTATTATATCTATAATCCTCTCAGAAAGCAGGCAGTCATAAGTAAACACCTACTCTAAGGCATATTACCGGCAGAAATGAAATGTGACCCAGATATACAGCTGGTTTACAAAAGCGAGGCAAACAACAACAACAACAACAACAAAAAAAAAAAAAAAACACAAACAAACAAACAGGTCAGCATAACTTAGGCAAATAAGAGATGTTATGAAGTGGTTCCATGTCCTTTTCCATCTGCAATGTAACTAAGTCATACCAATCCCCTCCATATTCCCTAAGAAACTATTCAAAGGCAACTGGAGTTCCCAAAGTAACAACTTTGAATTAAACCTGCACATCAAGAAAAGTTTCCTCCTCCAAAGCTTCAAAATCAGGATCTGATATCATAGACCCCACAGCTCTGCTGATGCTCATAGGAATGATTATACAAGGCAAGGGAAGCAGAATTTGTGATGTGACAAAAACAAACAAACAAACAAAAAACAAAAACAAAAAACCTTAAGGAAAATAAAAGCAATCAGTGTTCTCTACAACAAAAAGAGTGTAGAACAAATTAGCAAACAACTAAGAACTGTCTTTGTCAGTTCTCAATTACAAATTGGGATGAGTTCATTATTCTGCAAACTGAGAGACAGAGGAATCTTCCTTTTTAAGAAAGCAGGGGAGATTTAGCTCAATGTTTCAATGGGAAATCACGGCTAGTTTATTTTACAAACCATTTTAACATTATATTCCATCTTTGGAAGTCAAGTCATCCAAAAGGGAAGCACTGTCTCTGGCAGAAAGGTGCACTGGATTTGAGTTAAACTGTTCTTGAATGTTGAAAGCAGGTCAAAAGGGCAGTTTAAGCACATGCCAAAATTATTCAAAAGTTCTAAAGTTCTGAAACCTGCTTAGATTTTATACCTCTAGAAAAAAATATTTTAAGAAAGCATTCCTATCTGCCCTTCATGAAGTGGCACTTAAGTACCTACAACTTCCATAATGAGAACACAGCCATTTTAAATATTCTTTTTTTTAAAATTGCATTTTAGGTTTTGGGGTACATGTGAAGAACATGCAAGATTGTTGCATAGGTACACACGTGGCAGTGTGATTTGCTGCCTTCCTCCCCTTCACCTGTATCTGGCATTTCTCCCCATGCTATCCCCCCCAACACCCCACCCCCCACTCTCCCTCCCCTATTTCACCCTGACAGACCCCAGTGTGTAGTGCTCCCCTCCGTGTGTCCACGTGTTCTCACTGTTCAACACCCGCCTGTGAGTGAGAACATGCAGTGTTTGATTTTCCACTCTTGTGTCAGTTTGCTGAGAATGATGGTTTCCAGGTTCATCCATGTCCCTACAAAGGACACGAACTCATCATTTTTTATGGCTGTGTAATATTCCATGGTGTATATCTGCCACATTTTCCCTGTCCAGTCTATCATCGATGGACATTTGGGTTGGTTCCAGGTCTTTGCTGTTATAAACTGTGCTGCAATGAACATACCTGTGCATGTGTCCTTATAATAGAACAATTTATAATCCTTTGGATATGTACCCAGTAACGGAATTGCTGGGTCAAATGGAATTTCTATCTCTAGGTCCTTGAGGAATCGCCACACTATCTTCCACAATGGCTGAACAAATTTACACTCCCACCGACAGTGTAAAAGTGTTCCTATTTCTCCACATCCTCTCCAGCATCTGTTGTCTCCAGATTTTTTAATGATCGCCATTCTAACTGGTGTGAGATGATATCTCAGTGTAGTTTTGATTTGCATTTCTCTAATGACCAGTGATGATGAGCATTTTTTCATATGTTTGTTGGCCTCATGTATGTCTTCTTTTGCAAAGTGTCTGTTCATATCCTTTGCCCACTTTTGAATAGGCTTGTTTGTTTTTTTCTTGTAAATCTGTTTTAGTTCTGCAGAAAGCAGAAACTGGATCCCTTCCTGACACCTTACACTAAAATTAACTCCAGATGTATTAAAAACTTAAACATCAGACCTAACACCATAAAAACCCTAGAAGAAAATCTAGGCAAAACCATTCAGAACATAGGCATAGGCAAGGACTTCATGACCAAAACATCAAAAGCATTGGCAACAAAAGCCAAAATAGACAAATGGGACCTAATCAAACTCCACAGCTTCCGCATGGCAAAAGAACAGTCATTAGAGTGAATCGGCAACCAACAGAATGGGAAAAAATTTTTGCAGTTTACCCATCTGACAAAGGGCTGATATCCAGAATTTACAAAGAATTAAATATTCTTAAACCAAATATTTATTAACCTTTTTAGAAAATCAACTAAAGCATCCCGATAAATTCAAATAGTATGGAAATTTCCAGAATGTATTTCAGCTAATTTGGACCCCAATACCTTCTTTATCAATACCCTGCTAGGAGGAAGGGAAAGAAAATTTACTGCTTTAACTGAGGGGAAAAAAGAAAACAACAATAAAAACTCCAAAGGAACCCCCTTAGGTTTAATGTGAATATGTCTATGTTCAAATGTGTGACTGGATTAAAGTATTGAAATGTGAGCGTGAAAAGTACTCAGTATTCTACTCCCATAGATGCCTTTTACCATGTTAGTAAATACTCATACAAGCCACAGACTATATCCCAAACCTGTAACTTTATAATGCCTTTAAGAAGTTTCCTTCACGGCCGGGCGCGGTGGCTCAAGCCTGTAATCCCAGCACTTTGGGAGGCCGAGGCGGGTGGATCACAAGGTCGAGAGATCGAGACCAACCTGGTCAACATGGTGAAACCCCGTCTCTACTAAAAATACAAAAAATTAGCTGGGCATGGTGGCGCGTGCCTATAATCCCAGCTACTCAGGAGGCTGAGGCAGGAGAATTGCCTGAACCCAGGAGGCGGAGGTTGCGGTGAGCCGAGATCGTGCCATTGCACTCCAGCCTGGGTAACAAGAGCGAAACTCCGTCTCAAAAAAAAAAAAAAAAAAAAAGAAGTTTCCTTCACATTCTATTACATCACCAGCCACTCTCCCCTCTTCTTTCCTCTTCTCTAAGGATTCCAGTCAAGGAAGCTGCCTGTGTGATCAGTAGTAATGACTAAGGTGGCAAGAAAGAAATCATTAGCGAGAACTCACTCCTCAACGATTATAACTCAGGCATTTTACCAGACAAACACACACCTACACGTGCTGCTCTTATTCCTGCCACGGCTGCCTAACCAGAGTACCACAAATCATGGCTGTTTTTCTTTTTGAGACAGGGTCTCGCTCTGTGGCCCAGGCTGGAGTGCAGTGGTGTCATCTCAGCTCACTGCAGCCTCGACCACCTAGGCTTAAGCAATATTCCCACCTTAGCCTCCGGAGCTGAGACAATAGGGACATTCCACCACGCCCTGGTAATTTCTGTATTTTGTATAGAGTTAAGGTTTTGCTATGTTGCCCAGGGTGGTCTGGAACTCCTGGGCTCAAGCCCGCTTTGGGATCACAGGCATGAGCCACCGTGCCCGACCCCACTGCTCTTTTTCATGGTCATTGTAATGTTACTTTAGTAGCTCATTCTGAAACCAAAGGACAACCTCATTCCTCTGCCCAGATGGAAAGACGGAAAGAACGGATGAGGCCTTGGTGCACGTTAATAGTGAGAAGCTCAGAAAAGCCAGTAGAGCTTTAGAGACTGCAAATTTCCCGGCTATTTCCCTGGAGCCTCTTTGTCACTGTAAGGCCAGTTGCCTCGCGGGGAAGGCGGGGGGGCTCGGACACGCCCATCTCTCTCTGCGCCTTAGGTACCTCAAGAGCACATGCTCTCCTGGAAAGATCCGGCTAATGCAACCCGAGCTGGATCTCACAATCTCACACACACAAAAAATCCCGCCGAATAATCTACCAATAGCAGGTTGCCCCGTCCATGTCCCAGGCTCCTCCTCTAACCACCCACTTCTGCACCCGGCACTGGTTCTGCACTCAGCCCACCAGGCTAACTCCCACCCAGCAAACTGCCAACCAACAGCCAACTGCCCTGTTGACCTCCCGCTTCCCTAGAACCAATCAGAGCACCCTGCTCTTCCTCGCTGCTGGCTACAAAAACCCTACACCTCAGGAATTCAGCGGGACTTCTCTGGTCCGTTTCCCCAGACTATGGAACCTTGCCGGGGAGCTGAATAAATTGGCATTTAATTTTCTTATACTGGCCTCAGTTTCCTCATTTTAAACTCGTCAATGGACCTTACAGTCAATTCCGATGAATTCTCTCATTTACAGAAAGCAGCTGCTGAAAAAGACATCAGCAGCTACAAGGCCTTGAGACAACAGTGCTCTCCGCGGCAAAGTAAAACCCAAGTCTTCGGATCAAAACCAGTCGGGGCTGTGCATCCTTCCCGATGCCGGACCTCCTGAAAAGCTCACCTGGGGACAGTCCAGGATCCTGGGCTCGGCTCCCTGGCCCCGACAGGCGAGTGGCCAGGGTGACACACGGCGGGAAGCACACACCCCCGCCCGCCCAGCCTCGCAGATGGCTGGGCTCCCTGGGCACCTTCCGCCGCCAGGTCTCCGCCTCCCGACCTCCCTCTGGGCGTACGGAGCCCGTGGTCGCCACGTTTCCCTCGCCCGGGCGTTGACGCGGCGCCCACCCCGCAGCATCCTCGCGTCCAGGGCCTCTAGTCTTCGCCGGCCCACACACCCTACCCCGCTCGCGCCGCGCTTGCCTCCAAGCAGCGACCACATTCAAGGCCGAGAGCAGTTTGGACTGGAAACCCGCCGCCCCGGGCGCAGGCAGCCAAGCTGCACCCCGCCCCGCCCGGACCAGCTGCTCCTGAGCTCCAAAGGGAAGAAAGCGGCGCTCTGAGAACCCAGACACACCGACCGCCAGCCCAGCGCCGACTGGCGGGGGCGGGGGAACCGAAACCTACGTCTCCCCTTCGCCTTCGCGGGAAGCCCTTCTCTGTTCACTGTCCATTTCGAGGCCGCCCATAAAGAACATAATGCACGGTTAGCAGTAACAAATGAATTGCACTCTCTAGGCTCTTACCTCTGGATGGCTACGTCCCTGAAAAGTGTTTTAATTAGCTAATAGAGGGAGTGGGAGGGGCTTTCTTGGTCGGTAAATACGAATGCCTTCTTCGTCGTCTCGAATCTCCGGAGCAAGCAGTCAAAGCGGCCACTGCCTCGCCTCCTGGAAATTCTCGAAAATTTCTCTCCGTCAGTTGACCCGATGGAGAGAGAGAAATCTGTTCCCGCTGACTGACGGCAAATCCAGCCAGTCGGCGCTCGACGAGACGGCTGACCGGCCGTCCGGGCCCTCGATCGCAGCCAATCACAGGCGCCAACGGGAACGAGCCTCCCCGCAGCTGCTGTTTGGCTTCCAGCAGCGCGCAGCGGAGCGACGTCGCCCTGGGCCAGTGGGGGCTCTCGGCGGCGCCCCGCCCGCCCGAGGTTGGCGCCGCAGCCAAAAAGGGGGCGCGCTCGGGCGGTGGGTGGGGCCGCGAGACTTGGTACCTCGCCAGAGGGCGGAGCGGGGAGGCGGTTTCGCTTCGGGCAAAGGGACAGGTGGTTGTGACAGCCAGGAAACCGAGAACAGAATGCCAACACTACCTGGCTTAGAGCTTGAAAGGCATCTGATTTCACTGCCATCTCTTTGAAAAGCCGTGCACAGTGCAACGTTCTTGGCTGAACAGGTATCTTGTGATCCTTCGAGAATGTTTGTTCATTCATTCAACAAGTATTTCTGTGTTTATTGAAGGACGTCTTGTATGTCAGGCATTTGCTGGACAATGGGGATACACCCCTAACACAGACAGACATGATAGCCGCCCTCATAGAATTTGCAGTCTAACGAAGAAGAGGGAGAAAAACAACAAGTAAATAAGCACATACAATAGTAACTAATCGTGTCAAGAAAAGAAATAGACATGGTGTGGTCACTGGGGGATGACTTCAGATACGGTTGTTACATGAGAACCTTGTAAGATGGCATTTAAGCTGAGTTAGTCATTCAGCCATGGAACCAATAAAATGATGAATTGTTCTGGCAGAGGGGACAACAGACAAAGATCTCTAGGTGGGACAGCCTGGCGTTTTGGAAGAACAGAAAGTAAGTCAAAGTGGCTCTAGCATATTGAGAGAGGAGAGGAACAGCCTGATGTGAGGGAGATGAGGCAGATGGGGCCTGGTGATGGCATTACATTTTAAATTTAATGGAGTTCTACTGAGGCATTCGAAAAAAAAAAAAAAGAAGTGAAAGGATCTAGGTTTAGACTATATCACTTTGGTTAATGTGCAGAGAACAGTTAATATAAGCTATTGGGAAACTGGGCGATTATGACAGATGAAATTTAAAGTGGAAGATGACTTGGATTAAACTATGGCAATATAACTGAAGGGAGGGAAAAGCAGAGAGCTTAAAGATAAATAATTAACTTGATTTGACATTTTAGTTATTCTAGGCCAGGGACAACTATTCTGAATCCAGTGCATTTAATAAGCTGGTTGGAGAGGACTCTCATACTGATGGCTCACAAATTATAGTAATAACCTTGAGTAATATTATGTTGAGTTGATGTCGTTTATAGATTTCCTGGATTGTTTCTTTTATTTATTTATTGAGTTTTGAGACAAGATTTCACTCCTGCCCAGGTTGGAGTGCAGTGGTGCTATCTCAGCTCCATGAAACCTCCGCTTCCCAGGCTCAAGTGATCCTCCCACCTCAGCCTCCCAAGTAGCTGGGACTGCAGGCATGTGTGACCATGCACAACTAATGTTTATATTTTTTGTAGAGACAGGGTTTCTGCATGTTGCCTAGGCTGGTCTTGAACTCCTGAGCTCAAGCAATCTGCCCACCTCAGCCTCCCAAAGTGCTGGGATTACAGGAATAAGCCACTGTACCTGGCCTGGAATTTTTTAAAAAATGCATTGAAATATACATCTTAAAAAGTGCACATATCCTAAATGTAGACAGCTCAATGAATTTTCACAGTCTGAAAACACCTCTGTATCCAGCACACATATCAAGGAACAAAACATTATTAACACCTGGGAACCCCATCAACCTGCCTTTCAGTCACTGCCTCCTTCCTAGGGGAGTTTCTATACTGACTTTCAACAGCATAGGTAGTTTTTCCTGTCTTTATACTTGATATATATAAAGCCATAAAGTATGTGTTCTTTTATTTTTGGTTGCTTGGACTCAGCATTATACTTGTGAGATTCTTCCATAATGTCGTATGCAGCTGTAGATCATTTTTTTTTCCATTATGTGGATACAGTGTAATTTATGAATTCATTCTTCTGATGGACATAAGGGCAATTTGTCATTTAGAGCTGTATAGATAGTGCTACTATGAGCATTCCAGTACATATCTCTTGGTGCTGGTCTTTTCATTTGATGGCGTATTTTGGTAGCTAAGTTACAATTAAGTTTTAAAGAACCTGCTCATCAATAATGTATCATGTGTTGCAATATCTCAAGCATTTGGATCAAAATTTGGTGCAGGTAATGAAGGACTTTACTTTCACAAATGTGAACATATTTGGCAACAAATAAGAAGAAAGATGTGGGAAATTTTAAGCTTGGAAGTGTAAAGTATTTTGAATTGTCCTGGAGTTTTACCCTTTTTTACAAGCATTTGCATGCTCAGCATCTCAGAACATCATGACTTTGCCAAATCCTTGTACCAAACTGGACTGGAATCCACATTCATATGATAAGCAAAGCCAGTTAGGCTGTTCTGAAGAATACCTTTGATACTAAAACAGTTCTTGAAATTGCCTTTGAAAATCACACCATTTCATACTCTACCACAGCTCATTAAAATTAAAGCCAGGAGTTTACGTCTTTTGAATTATATGCTTCTAGGTTTTGAATCTCTGAAGCATAGCTAAATACACAAAAAGAATTCGTGGCCAGTACAGTGGCTCATGCCTATAATCCCAGCACTTTGGGAGGCCAAGGCTGTGGATCACTTGAGCCCAGACTTCGAAACCAGCCTGGTCAACATGTCAAAACCTTGTCTCTACAAAAAATACAAAAATTAGCCAGGCATGGTGGCACGTACCTGTGATCCTAGCTGCTTGGGAGACAGATGAGATGTCACCTGAGCCTAGGAGATCCAGGCTGCAATGAGCCATGATCTCACCACTGCGCACCAGCCTGGGTGACAACAAAAAACAATTCACAATTATCTGTACACCAAACCCCCATGACACACAGTTTATATAAACCTAAAATAAAACCTAAAATAAAAGCTTTTAGAAATGCAAATAATGTGTAAAGGAAATCATTATTTGATATTTGACCAAACAATTTAAAAATGAAAAAGAATTCACCATAGAGGCTGACTTGGCATGACAGATCACTGTACAATGTACAAAATAATCAAGGGGATATAGCACTCCATACATTCATTAAGTTGAGCTACTTTTTATTTACTTATTTTTTTTTTTTAGAGACAGGATTTCCCTGTGTTGCCCCAGGCTGGAGTGCAAGGATTATTCACAAGTGTGATAATAGTGCACTATACCTTTGAACTCCTGGGCTCAAGTGATTCTCCCGTCTCAGTGGAAGAGCTGGGACTACAGGCATGCACCACTGTGCCCAGCTCAGTTTATATTTTAAAGATTGAACCATCTGCTGAAAACCACTGGCTATCAAAAAATTATTCCCAAAACAACTCATAGGGCTTTTGATGGGTGGGTGGTATATATAATTGCATAATTATTAATATTCACTAATGAATCATTTGTTGTTAAAAATTAGATATGGATATTTTTGTATACTCAGAATCAGCAATCTTCTAGAAAGTTATCTATGCTACTTTTGGCCTCATGCCTAAACCATGGGCCCTGGGATACTAGGATGTATTTTTCCAAAGTTCAGACTGTTCCGTCCTGAATTGATAGCCCAGATGTCCTTTCTCTGTGTTACCAGGATAATCGCCAAAACACTGAGACAGATAATTTTTAGGCCTGTCTCAGTGGCTCATTCCTGTAATCCCACCACTTTTGGAGGCCAAGACAGGAAGACAACTTGAGGCCAGGAATTCAAGACCAGCCTGGACAACATAGTGAGCCCCCTGTTCTCAAAAAAAAAAAAAAAAAAAAAAAAAAAAAAAAAAAATTAGCCAGACATGGTAGTGCATACCTGTAATCCCAACTACCTGAGAGGCTGAGGTGGGAGGATTACTTGACCCCAGGAGTTTGGGGTTGCAGTGAGCTGTGACTGTCACTACACTCCAGTCTGGGCAACAAAGCAAGATCTTGTCTCTTAAAAAAAAAGAGAGACAGAGAATTTGAAATCTTGTTCTTGGTTGCAATTAAACTTGCAGCAGTGATTTTGTTTTAGAATGTGATTGTTTCTTCCCCCACCCTGTGTAATTTACCCCCACAAATTTAGAATAAATAAGTTTTAGACTGGGCACAGCGACTCAAGTCTGTAATCTCAGCCCTTCGGGAGGCCAAAATGGGCAGATCACCTGAGGTCAGGAGTTCAAGACCAGTCTGGCCAATATGACAAAATGTCATCTCAACTAAAAATACAAAAATTAGCTGGGCGTAGTGGCATGCACCTGTAATCCCAGCTACTCGGGAGGTTGAGGCATGATAATTGCTTGAACCTGGGAGGCGGAGGTTGCAGTGAGCCAAGATCATACATACCACTGCACTCCAGCCTTGGCAAAAGAGCAAGACTCCATCTCAAAAAAAAAAAAAAAAAAAAAAAAAAGCTTCAACCACTACCAGTGCTACAGAGATTTGACATGTCTTTCCATTTCCACCTCTGACTATTTGACTATTATTTATTCTACTTGATCTTATTCACGTCTTTAATTGCATGTTTCCCATTAGAGCTGTTGTGAGAATAACCATATTTTGTAAATGTATTTTGTAAGAAAGGTATACAAAATTGTGTTTTGTTATTTAAATCACAAAAGCTCAAAATCAAGGAAGTGAAATATGATCGTCATTATTAGCATTGTTTGCCAGATCTTTACTGCTGTTCATCACCCAAGCCAGTAGTGCCAGGGGAGGGCAGGCACCTGTGACTTATCTTGGTCAATGAATTGTGAGTGGAGGTGATGGGGTAATTTTTGAGCTTGAGCATTTCATGTCCCTGTGCAAGACCCTCCAAGGCTCACTTGCCTCTGCCACTGCAACCAAAAATGTTCCAGAGAATGGCTGCTCCCTGAATGACTCCAAAGAAGAGAGTTCCACTGCCAGCCTATGATTGCCATGGAACAGTGAGCAAGAAACAAATCATTGATGTTGTTTGCTACTGGATCTTAACCCAACTTCACCTATCCTACCTCAACTGATACAACTGTTAGCCCTAACTTAAGATTGATTTTTTGAATCGTTCTTGGGATAATTTTAGCCTAAGGGAAATTTTCATACATTCATTCAATAAATATTCATGAAGATCACACTATCTATCAGGAACTATGTTAGGCTATGGATTT